ATGATATTCACGTATCTTTATATGCACTTACTAATTATTTCTATGTCTTTGATATGGTGAAAAGTCTGTTAAAATCTTTTGCCCATTTTGGTATTAGGTTGTCTTCTTAAGTTGTAAGAAGTGTTTGTATAATCTGAATGCAAGTCTTCTGTTAGTTATTTGTATTGTGAATATCTTTCCCCATTCTGTACCTGAAATTTTTTATTAAAAAGGGCTTCATTTTATTTCTCCAGTTTTCTAGTTGGTTAAAGTGGGAGGGTAAATCTTATCTGCTTTGTTAGTCAGGGACAGTAGATTTTTTTGTTCATTGCTGTATCTAGTGAGTAGCATAAAGTGCGGCAAAAACTAGCTGTCCAAAGGTGTCTTCTGAATTAATATTTAGAATGCCAACAATAGGAATCATGTATTACCTAGACTGTTTTCTGAGAATAAATGAGTTATTTTTCCTTATTATCATTCTTTCAATTATGAAAAGTAAACATGCTGTTTTGTTCCTGTTGAAGTTTAAAAGGTGATACTAGGGCATTTTGGTCTTGGTGGCTGCCCTCCATCTTCTAGAAGGTATTCATTACTCTTTTGTGCACAACTATTACCCACCTGAACGTTCATAATCCAATCAAACTTTTTTGTGTTTTCAAAACTGATTTGTTCTATAGGTGTCTTTTAGTCATTAGTCACTGAAGACCCAAAGAAAAGTTTCTAGTAACATTTTGTTCCAGTTACTTAGAAGAAAAGCATGGTGTTCAGTGTTTCTGCATTAACAAAATTAATTTCATATGTAGAAAAGAGTGATCCTTGAATTAGAGTTTTGTGGGCAGTTTTTGTTTTGTTTTGTTTTTGATAGATTTAAAAATTTTTTTTGGAAATTTTCTAACACATGCACCTTTTCTTTCAAGATTGAAGAATGAAAAGGCATTGCGTCTCAACCTTATTGGTAAGCAGATTTACTCATTTGACACTCTGACTAAATTGTAGTGAAGTTCTGTTCTGTGCCTATTTTTCTTTTGATTCTTTTAGGGAATTTTCTTTACTAAACTTAATTAAAGTAAAATCAATTGTTAACTCTTAGAAAGTGTTAATAATATCTAGCTGTTTTTCAGAAACTAGTTTATATTTACCTACCTATATTTGTCTGTCTTTCTATCTATTTATCTATCTCTGAAGTTTAATTCTAGCTCCCTAACCATTAGAATTAGGAAGGATTATGGCCTAAGTATTTTGGAAACAGAAATTTAGTGATGCGGATACATGCATCCTCAGTCTGTATCTCAGTGTCACAATTATTTTTGGGGGGCAGGAGGGGCAATATTGTTAGTAAATTTTTACTTACAAGCCTGATTTCAAAATAGGGATTCTTAGGGGGCGCCTGGGTGGCTCAGTCCATTAAACATCTGCCTTCGGCTCAGGTCTTGATCTCAGGGTCCTGGGATCGAGCTCCATGTCAGGCTTTCTGCTCAGCGGGAAAGGGAAGTCTGCTTCTCCCTCTCCCTGGGTGCGTTCTCTCTTGCTCGCTTGCTCTCAAATAAATAAATAAAATCTCCTAAAAAAAAAAAATAGTGACTCTTGGGCTTTGGTTTTGTTGTTGTTGTTGTTGTTGTTTTGTTTTGTTTAGTCTTCGGCTTTTCTTGAGCACTGATCTCTTATGCTTTCGCAGATAATAGAATAGTATTTCTAAGTAGGTCATCCATATCTAAGGTAGGGCCATTTCTTGATCTGTAATATTTGAGAAATCTAACTGAAAGTGACCCTGATGGTCAGATTTACTCTTTGCACAGTATCTGACAGATCTTGCATTGTTAATATATTTACTAATTTGAAGCCTTGGACAGGCCACTTAACCTTTCTTATGTGTGAATAGGAATAATAATATTATATCCTTGTAGGATTATAAAGCTCTTAATATATAGCCTGATTTTTAAATACTTAGAACTTCATGTTCTGTTAAATTTTCTTTCTTTCTTTCTTTCTTTCTTTCTTTCTATACATCCTTATTGGATAACAAATATATACTAAAAGGCATCTCTCCCACCCCTGTCTCCCAAATTAAAATGTGACAGTTTGCTTTCTGACAGACTGGTTTAATTAGCTTTGAGCCCATGCAAGCCTTTATATTTAACATTGACATAAATTTTGATATTATTTTAAACACATTGATGTTGGAAAGTACAATGAATACTCATTGCTTAAGTGACAATTTACGGTGTTAACCTATCTTTGTACTTGGTATTATAGGTGAAAAACTGCAGTGGTTTCAAAGTCATCTTGATCCCCAAAAAGTAGGATATTCAAAGAAAGATGCTTGTGAATTAATTGAAAGGTAAACACTGGGCTCATTATGAGCAAAGGATCAGAAAAGGGAATTCTCTAACCTGGTTCTTCAAGCGACAGATTGCTGTTCTGGATTTATAGAGGAGTAAATGGGCTTTGTTATCAAAAAGGTTTTAGATTCACATCCTGGTTTAGCCACTCTAGTAGGTTTATAATATTTCTGAGCCTCAGAGCGTTACTTAACCCAGTTTCTTAGGATCAGGAAAGGCTTCTTATGGAAATATTATCTAAAATGACTTCTGAAGAGTAAAGGTTAGCAGATTGAGGTAAGTTAGTTCTTGAAGAGCCTTTAGGCAGAGAGAACAGCTTCAGAGTTAAGAGTGACATATTTAGTGATCTGCCAGACATTAAATATCATCAAAATAATAGGTTCAAGGAGGGCATTGTGACAAGTACAGTTCACCAAGGACCTCAAGTATCACTGTAAGAGTTTGGACCTTTTCAAAGGACGTTGGGAGCTATAGGCTTTTTATAGTAGGTACCTGAGATGATCATATTTAAACCTTAGAAATGTCACAGTAGCGAGAATGGTGATGGCCTGAGGGTACATGGCTTTGACCAGGACACTGTTGGAAGGCTGATGGAGCAATCTGGGCAAGAGATGATGCTGGCATATGCATGTTTTTTAGCAGTATGGTGAAAAGAAATGAAGATTCCAGAAATATTAAGAAGATAGAAAGTCTAAATCATTAGTGAAAACTTAGGTTGGCATAAAAGGGAGAAAGTGGAGTCAAGGAGGACATGAACGTTGTTCACTTGGGAGATGGTTGTACTATTTGCTGACGTAGAGAGCCAAAGAGATGGAACAGGTTTGGTGGGGGAGGGATGGGGACAGTGGTGGGCACAAGTTCACTTTTGAGGGGTTCAGCTTCCATGGGACATCCAAATGGAGAGTTCCAGGAGGTAGTTGAATATGAGGATCTGGAATTCAGGAGATATTGAATAGCAGGCAGTGATCTGGTTGCTGAAATTTTGAACACAGGTTATCCAGGGACAGTCTGAAGTCTGAGGACATGAAGAACTTAGAAGTATACAAAAATTTCAAGGATAGGTGAAGGCTGGGGTTTGTTTTAAATGAAGTAATATAAGCCAAATGTATAGACCTGTAACTCAAATTGCATTCTTATTTCTCAGGTATTTAAATCGATTCAGCAATGAACTAGAACAGATTGAATTACATAACAGCATCAAAGACAGGCAGGGAAGGCGGCACTATTCCCGGGAGACAGTCATCAAGCAGACAATGGAGCGTGAGCGACAACAGTATGAAGGATATGGCCTTGGTGTGTTCTCTGTGATTTTCTTTTTTTCTTTCTAAATTCATAGCCATATCAGATTTGTAATTCTTTTCAAAGGTTTCATTTTATTTATTCTATTTATTTAGTTTAGATTGAATTTCTTTTTGATTTCCTTTCTTTTGTGAGTATGTCAAATTTATTAATTTTTTTTCTTACATTCTCAGAACTGTCACTTGTGATAATGACGTCATATCTTTCTACCTTGACAATAAAATTTTCATCTCCCTCTGGCACATTCCTGATTTGCTTTATTGTGGAGTTACCACTTGCCCATCTCTAACTACAGCTATGTTTCTTTAGAGTAGGTGCTATGCCCTTCTTATCTTTCTAATTTTTGAAGGACCAAGCTATCCTTGTTGTTGTCATTCTTGAAGAACTAGAAATCGAACATTGATTCTTAGCATTGAAGCATTTCTTACCATTCTTAAAGACAAGTTGTTAATTTACCAACATTATCTTAAGAAAAAGCACTTAGGGTAGTTAAGGCTTGCAAAACCCACAAACAGGTGAGGACCCAGAGGCAACATGGCCTGCAAATGGTATTTGATTGGCTTGTTAATTGTCAGTCTAGGAAAATCTAGCAATTTCACATGAAACATGTAGATTTCTGGCTTTTTAAAAAAAATCAAATGGTCTGGTAACATAATCTGCTTCAGTGGAGTAACAGCTTTCCCTTTTAGACTTCATCATATATTCTCAAGTTTGCCATGGCCCTGAACATTACTTCATTCACATTCTGTTTCAGGTCCATGTTACAGCATTTATAGTATGTGGATTTGCTTGATAAGTACAGTACAAATAAAATATTTAGTAGCAAATTGGGTTTTTAAATTCTGATATTAACAACACTGAAGTATAGGACCATAAGGAAAATATCCTGTAAGTAACTGTTGTGTTGGTCCCAGCCTGTTGATAGCGATTCTGTCAGCTAGAAATACCTGAGGCATTCACCTGGGCCGTTAATACATGAGTTGAGCCCCCATAGGTATTTCCCCAACCAGAGCCACTTTTCTGGCTGGCGCAGCCCTTGTGGTGGTTATGATTGCAGGATGTGCCTAATAACAACCATCAGGGGAATTTGAAGAAAACAACAAAACAAAACCCAAGCTTCTTTACTCAAAAGGCCTGGAGGGTCCATAGCACGCCTAGGGCCACACAGGGAAGTTGAGGGTGGAGAGGAAGAGTGTGTGTGGACCTGGGGCTCTACCTTTATCAGAGTGTGAAGGTAAGGTGCCTGGGGTTTCACAGGTTCATTCTTTATTGGTGAATTAACATAACTGGGAGTTAGAGCATGAGAAGGGAAAAGTGGGGTCACTTGAGTGGCGACTTACTAGGTTACTAGGACTTTCTAAAAGGGGACTTTAATGGGTCAGCGTGGCCTGGTTTCTTATCTAGTTTTGCTGGTAGTGTGTTATATAGCTGGCAGTATTTTTATTTGAGAAGGGTGTCTTTGATATGGATGTCTAGACCATCAGAAGCTTGGTGTCAGCCACTTACACTATAGTAGTAACACTAGAAACCCTGAAGTAGTTGGCAGTTTCTCTTCATCATTTCTAAGAAGTGAACTTCTTCACTGAAAAAAATAACGGAAAAGAGCTGTAGTATTAGGTAGATGTGATTTAAACCCTTAGAGCTTACTGTATAACAGGACAAGTTATTTAACCCTCCCCGCTCCACCAGGTTTGTTTTCTTCAATTTAAAAATTGAAATAAATAAATAAATGTATACCTACATCCCCAGTTGTTTAAAAGTTACACGAGGTTTCATTTATCAAAGTGCCTGACACAACCTAATACAGGAAGTTTGGGGAGAGCTTCAAGCACTACTGTCTGTGTCCTTTCGCTGGGTAGTTACCTTGTAAGAACGTAAAATTTGTTTATGTTCATACCTCCCCCATCTCCTCCTGTTGTGTTTTCTCTGGAGCCCACTTTAATTAGCTGTTGTCTCCATCGCCCAACAAGTAGTGGTCACTGATGACCTCTACGTTGCTAAGGCGAACAGTTGCTATACTGGGCATTGATTCTCGGTCAGCTTTTCTGTGGCATTTGATACAGATGATGACTTCATTTTCTTTTCTTTTTTTTTTTTTTTTAATTTAAAGATTTTATTTATTTATTTGACAGATCACAAGTAGGCAGAGAGGCAGGCAGAGAAAGAGAGGGAAGCAGGCTTCCTGCTGAGCAGAGAGCCCGAAGAAGAGCTTGATCCCAGGACCCTGGGATCATGACCTGAGCTGAAGGCAGAGGCTTTAACCCTCTGAGCCACCCAGGCACCCTGATGACTTCATTTTCTTATCACACTTTTCATTTGGTAAAGAATACCCAGCCCTTCCGTAGTTTTCTTTCTAGTTCAGTTTCTTTAGTTGACTCCTCATCTTCACAAACTAATTATTGGCCAAGGTCCCCATCCTTGGACTATTTCTTATTTTCTACGTGTACCAATTCCTAGTTCATTTCACTCAGTCTGTGGTTGTAAATGCCACTTAAATGGTGAGAATTTGAAATTTGTATCTGTTGACCCTAATGTGTCTCTAGAAATCCAGACTTACATTATCAAACTGGGGTTTATCAAAATCTCTACTTGAATGTCTTCTAGGCATCTCAGACCTGACATTTCCCAAAGCAAAGTCCAGCTTTTCTCCTGAAACTTACTCCCACACGATCTGTATGTCATACAGCAGCGTCACCATCTGCCCTGTTTCTTAGGCTGGAAACTTGTAGTCACTTTCACACTCCATCCAGCTCATTGGTAAAATGTATTTTACATCTGGTAACTTAAACTGCTACCACTACCACCTCCCTAATCCAAGCCACCATTGTTTGATATTGTACATTGTAAGAGCCTCCCAGTTGGTCTCTGTGCTACTGCTCTTTCCTCCTAGAGTCTGTTCACTACGTGGCAGGCAGATGAATTAACAGAACATGGCCAAGGTCGAGCAGGTACTTACTGGTGATTGAGCTAGCCAGCACAGAAACGCCTATCCAGCATTCTTCAGCTGTGTCACAGTGTTTCTTTCAGAGTCAGGGAGTGTGTCTGGTGAAAGGGTTGTGGTCTCTGACAATTAACATAGGCAAATTGTTAACTGAATTCTGCAGGTTTGGAGAAAACTGGATTCTGACCCCTCCCCTTCCTCACCCCATTGTGGTATAACTACTTCTGACTCATTTTATTAGGATTTCTTTTTTAAAAAATGGTGTTTAATTTACACCTTTTAAACACTGGACCCCCTCATACTCATATTTTCTGAAACTGTTGGCATAATCAGCATATAGCTGTGTTAAGCCTTTTTATTTTATCTTTTTCATTTGTTGATTCTGTGCCACCTCCTGACGGCACACGGGAGAAAAATGAGGTACAAACAAGTCAGCTGCAAGAGAATGGGAGCAGGGGGTGACAGTAGAAAAGACTGTCGCCCCAAACAACTCCTCAGTCTCATATTTATTAGAAAGTCGGTAACAACCAACAAAAAAGGTAGAGTAGATTACACATTGACCATGAGTCTTGCAGATACATAAGAAGAAAGGCAAAATATGTCTGGTCACGTAGTACATGACCTATAGTGAGCAAGCCCAAACTAAAGGATTGTCTGACTGACTGCTGATGCTTTCTAGGCAAGGGGAAATAACGGAAAAATGAAGCAGGCGGCGTTGCACCCTGAGCGAGCTGGGCATCCCCAGCTGCTCGGCCTCGAGGACATCTATTGTCCTCTCCCCCAGAGGCCTGTTGCCAGTACATGTTTTTCTTAAGGTTATATCTAAGCATGCTTGGTAACTAGTATAATTTCTCATAGGTTATATTTTAAGCAGTACGTTGTTCTGAGGGACAGTTACAATTCTGGATTTTAATTACTATTTTACTACATTGGCCATATTCTTTGCAGCAATGTTCTAGTTCTTTATACATGCCTTTTGTGTTTTACTGATAACTATGATCATGCATGTTGTTTTATGGTAAACTTCATAATCATGGTGAGGAACTGTTAAATACCTAGTTTTTTTTTTTTTTTTTTTAAATTAAAGATGGTTTAAGTTTTATTGAGTTGCTTTGAGCATCTACTGATTATAGTTTGTTTAAATTTTTTTTCACATTTTGAAAAATGTGATTTTTAAAAATAGTAAAGAATACTTCTCAGATAAACTCTGCCTTGCCAAAATGAAGTATATGCTTGAAAAAAAATTGTACTTTTCGGGTGCCTGGGTGGCTCAGTTGGTTAAGCGACTGCATTCGGCTCGGGTCATGATCCTGGAGTCCTGGGATTGAGTCCCACATCGGGCTCCCAGCTCTTTGGGGAGTCTTCTTCTCCCTCTGACCTTCTCCCCTCTCATGTTCTCTCACTCACTCGCTCTCTCTCTCTCTCTCTCTCTCTCAAATAAATAAAATCTTTTAAAAAAGAAAATGTACTTTTCACCAAGAAAATATATTTAAAAATCTAGCATATTATTTCACGGGATTGATCATTAGAAATTGCCAGGTGCCTTTCATAAACTAAAAGGACAGGGTTTATCTCAGTAATAGGTTTATTTTATTTACCGATTCTGTGCTAGAATTTATTATTTAATAGCATTTCTCTTCAATCACCTCTTAAACTAAGCCCTTTATCCTTGTAAAACTTACTTTTCATATAGCATTATAGCAGTGCTTCAAGATTTTGTTTTGGCTTTGGATTTTCTTGCTGTCACTTATTCATTGCATCTGAGATAATAAACAAGGAAACTATAAAATGTTGTGATTTAAAGAACACTGCTTAATGGATATGAATTATTTTCTTCCCCAGAGATTCCAGACATTATAAATGCTGGTAATCTGAGAACTTTTAGGTAAGTCTATTTCTCTCTATAATTCCTTGAGGCTGCATGTGAAATACGTGAGACATAAATTTTCTTCCCTTTTTTTTTTTTGTTTTGTTTTGTTTTTATTTAAAGATTTTTATTTATTTATTTGACAGAGAGATCACAAGCAGGCAGAGAGGCAGGCAGAGAGAGAGGAGGAAGCAGGCTCCCTGCTGAGCAGAGAGCCCGATGTGGGGCTCGATCCCAGGACTCTGAGATCATGACCTGAGCCGAAGCGGCTTAACCCACTGAGCCACCCAGGCGCCCCTTCCCTTTTGAACTTAGACATTAGAGCTAAAAAGAATCAGTGGTTTATTTTAACCTGAACTTCTCTTTTATCAAAGTAATACTTTTCCTAATTTGTGTTTATTTGAAACACCTGATGTACACTAAAATGATAGTGACATGGTGCTTTTAAATACCTTAATATAATACTTGGTCTCACTCTTCCTCCCCAGTTTGTATTTTTTTTTAAAAGATAAACTAACAGCAACAGGCTCAGTGGCTTAGAGTTCTATCCCTAGACTGTTCGTAGCACCCTCTTTTAGAAAAGATGGTTCTTGGGAAGTGATACCAGAGAAAAGGTTAAGTTGTCAAGAACTAGTTAGTTCAGAGGTGGAAAGATGATTTCTTTTGTAACAATAACATGTTTTTGGTTACTGAAACTTTGACTTCCTGCCAATTGTGAAAAGAAAAATAATTTCCGACTGTACTTTGGAGATTTGTGGGTATTACACAGTTACTGCTTTTGAGGTTCTTGATACTGTACGGCCCACTGGAGTGTTCAGGTTGGGGAGAATAAATAATGGCATAGAGCCTCCTTGTCAATTCTGCCTAATACTCCTGTATTAAGTTGGAAGTTTGGGATATGTGGGAATCTCTGTGCAGTTATTGTTGTTGTAGGTTAATGAGAAGATGCAATATGTGTGGACAAAGCAAGCCTTACTTCTTGGGACTTTGTTTTCCTAAAGCATATAGTGTTTGTTTGTAGGGCATTTGAATCTGTAATGAATTTATAAGCTTTGTTCTGCTGCTTTCAGAGTTTTAAATATCGACTGCTTCACCATCTTGCCCCCAGCCACCCTCTCTAAATACTGTCTCTTTTATTTATTTAGGGAATGGGATTTCGATCTGAAGAAATTGCCAAACATTAAAATGAGAAAAATTTGTGCTAATGATGCGGTCCCCAAGAAGTGCAAGAAGAAAACTGCTACGGCTGTAGATACAGATTTAGGGGAACTGGAACTAAAAGATGAATCAAGTGATTCAGATGAGGAGATGACAGCAGTGGCCTAATTGTCCTTTGTTTGAAGTAAAAGTAAATAAGATGAGAGCCTCAAGTTATATTTGACCTGATTATGTTTAGTAACTGTAGATACAAGAATTTGCTATGTAGCTTCTTTCATCATGAGAATCCCATTTGCAGTTTCAAAAACAGTGTTATGATTATCAGTTAGAAATGAATGTTGCTTTTTATTTACATTAAGTTGCTAAAATAGATATAGTGAGATAAAAGCGCAATCTAAGATCCATTTAATCAAATTTCATGAGCAGGGGGAGTGATATGAATAATGACAAAAATGTTTTCATCTTTTCCCTCATGTTTACCTTGGATCCCCTGATCTCACATTCTGGGGCTTCTACAGCAGCATGTTTGCTGAAAGGGTCCTATGGATACTTCTTGAGCAATGATGGTAGCAAAATTGGCTTTTAGTAATAGTGTTTCACTAATCTTCCTCTTGAACATCACACCAACTTTCTTTCCTAGTAAAATAAAGAAAATGATAGATTGTATTTTTGGGAAATAGACAAGGAAATGTGATACATATTTCCTTGTATACAATATACATATTGTATATTTAGGAAATATACAAGGAAAATGATAGATTATTTTTATTATCTTTAAGCCGGTGTTAAACGATAAAGTAAAAAAATGGTGACTATTTTCATGATGTTGGCCTCCCACGCTTAATCTGTTATCTTTTGATAAAGGGGATAAATAATTTCAGGTTAACTATATTACTTTCTGTTTTCTCATGAAAGATGATAGATTTTAATTGTGGAAACAACTAATGATTAGAGAATCAGTTATTGCAATTGTGTTATTTATTTGTGTTACTTATTCTTCTAAGAGGCTAAATGACATAATTTGGTATTTAAAGTATCATGAAAGACATGGATGTGTTAGAGTGTTCTTCATAGAACTTGTTAAATGCAGTTATCTTTTAGGCTGTTTTCTAAAGGATACAATGTAAATGTATTTGCGAATTTTCAAAAAAATAAATATACATTAATGCTGAAAGAAGTTAACTAAATATCAACTAAGCCTTATTAATAATTTATTTAAAATATTAATAGTTTTTTATTGTTGAAAATTAAAGATAAAATTTATTTTCATGATTTTACTTCTTAAAGTTCTGATTATTTCATTTTCAGTGTTTTAACTGATGCTGATTTGCTTTTCTTTAGTACTCTCCATAAAAGTATGGTTTTATGGTTACAGAAGTGTCTGTCTCTTTAGTCAGTGGAATGTGTCCTTTTTTTGAGTCAAAATGGCTATTAAAACTAAATTTTAAATTACAGTAAGGAGAATAGAAACTGTTTTATCCTGTCTGATATTTAAAAAGGCATACTGTTAGAAAAATAACTTCTGAATATGGCAGATCATCCTCCCCATCAGACATTTGTCCCTGGTTTTCCCTATACCATAAAGCAAAAGAGACAACAAAACACACTGCTTGGAACCAGAATAGGTAGATACTTGTTGAATGAATGACTTGACTTTACCATTTAGGATAATGTAGTTCATAATCATATTTTATTATATATCATTTTATATAATAATAATGTGGCAGTAACAATCAGATTACTCCTGGCTGGACCAGAGTAGCCTAAGAGAATAATGCTTTTAAGTAGTATCCTTAATCATTTTCTGTAGAACATGTTTCTTCTGCAGTGATAGCTTTTGCTGCCTTATATAGATTGTTTTCCTGTCAGTAGTATGTTTTTGTAAGATAGCTTCTATAGGCCATGGCCATGGAACAGAGTAAAAGCAGCTCACTTTGTTGGCAGTTCTGTGCAAATTGGGGACTGGTAAAGTTTTTTTTGTAAAGAGCCAAGATAATAAATATTCTAGTCATCGCAGCCCAGATGAAATTTCTGTTGCATATTTGTGTGTGTTTTACCACCCATTACAGATGTAAAGATCGTTCTTATTTCATGGCCATGCACAGAGTAGGCCACAGGCTGGACTTGGCCTGCTTGCCATAGTATGCCAACAAGCCGAGCTTCCATGCATGTGGGCTAATGGTACTTTTCTAAGCTCAGAGCAGGTAACTCTGAGGTTGATGGTCTCTTTCCTAATATCTTAGTCACTTCTTTGCCTCACCGTCATAGGCATCTCTTTAGGACTCTGTTCACCTTAAATAGAAGCTTTTTCTACTCCTGTATCCCTTGCGCCACCTACCAGAACGGGAGACAGAAAGGTGTCCTCTTTGACTACTCTTTCTCAGTTCTTTTAAGATCTGTCATTGTCTCCCTTTCCTTATTATCTTACCTCCCAGAGGAACCTTCTGCCCATTCCTCGACTTCAGCTCTTGGCTTAGTTTTCTTCTCTTCTATTTCAATCGTGTCACTGATTCCAGAAGCCTTGTGGATAACAAATCTAACACTGTGAGCTTTAACCTTTCCCGTCTTTTTCTCTGTCACATCAGAGGCCTATCTGTGGTCACACCCAGATCCTTATCAGCTCCTGAAACTCCTATAAACTTAATGGGCCCTTCTGTTCTGGGTTCACTATCTCCCATCACCCTCCATTGCTGAAGTTCCACACTTTGACCTCATTCATTCATTGTGCACCACCGATCTCCTGTTTTCAGCTTGTTTTGTTGAGGTTCCCGATTTAATAGTTGCCTCCCTGCATCCGCCCTGAAACCCCCTGCCCCGAGCTACATAGTATTCCTCTTTCAAAACTCAAACTGAGTAGCGCTCAGTTATCTGTCTTCTTCATACCTGTTGTTCCCAAGCAGCTCAGTTTTGCTGGAGAACATCAGACAGGTTTTTCCGTTCCTGTTTGCACATTGCAAGTGGGTTCTCAGTACCAATGAGCAATTTTACTGTTTCTGTAATAAGTTCCCTTTACAACTTTAAGATAATTCTTTCACTACCTTTTTCCATATGTTGTAGCTCAACTTTAATATTTACCTCTTCAACATTCAGCTCTTTATATACATTATTGAGAAAATACAAACTATCATTTTCTTTGGATTTCATGGGTGTAGCAACTTTTCTCCTTTCAAAGGCAAATACTCCTACTTGGGTTTTGGATCTTACTCCCTATGTCTCCTCAGGAATCTTGAATCTCTCCCAAGTTTTTCACCTAATTTCTCAATCCAGAAAACTGCCTGTAAATCATCCTTGATTCTTCTCTTTCTTTTTTACACACCCTTCTCAATCTAATTTAGTTAATATTTCTGGTTCTGTTTCCAAAAAGAGAATCACATCAGCCCGTGTCCGGCCACCTCCCAGTCTTGGCCTCTGCTGTGTGCATTTGCTTCCTCACTGGCCCTCATGCCACCATCCTTGTACCTTTTAATCCATTCTCCAGAGCTGCTTGTGAATTTCTGGAAATGTACACTAAAATATGCTACCCCTTTGTTCATACCGTTACAGTATCATTCTGTCACTTTCTTCATGGTGTGTTTATTTGATGGGTATAACTTTGTTTCTAACCACCCTTTTTGTGAGGTTTTAGTTAGTGCAAGTTTAAGTTCGCTTCAAAATTGAGAAGCTAAAGAGATTCCATGCCCTGCCCCTACAAGCGTGTAGCTTCACACATCATTGACATTCCCCCATGCAGAAGGGCAGATTTGTAAAAATTGCTGAACTTACCTTGATATCTGTCACACTTCAAGTAAAATTCACGTTCCCTACCTTGGCAAAGAAGCCTGAAATGATTTGATTCCTGACTGCTTCTCCAACCTCAGCTGGTTTCCACTTGCCCGTGTACTGCACTTCAGATCACAGAACTTTGTCCATTCCTAGAATTGCCAAGCTGGTTTCTACGGTGGAACAGCTCTGCTGACACCTGATGACCTTGTTTTTTATCCACCTTAGCCAGGTGTGGTTCAGGGCCGACCTGAGCTTTAGAATGAGTGCCCTGTGATCTTCCTGGAACTCAAGGGTATGGGGCATGCAGTAGCTGCCATGGGCCGCTTCATGTTTGTCTCCCTATCTTTCAAGGAGGATGTGAGACAGTTTGTCATTGCCTCTGGATTTTGATGAATTATGAGACTCCACTGTGCGTCCCTTTAGGGAGTGGCTGCAGGCCAGAGTTGCTTAGCTGCAATAGGGAATCAGCAGCTCAGCACCAGGGTGCCCCACTCCTTATGTCGCATTATCGTATCTTTTATCTATCCTGCCTTCTTTTTGTGTCTTCCCTTGGGACAAGACTTATGGCAATTTGCCTTTCCTTTGCTCTCTCTGTAAGTAATAAACTGTCAGACTCTAACAAGGGCTTGCTGTTTCTTTAGTAGCTGAATCTTGCCACTTGCCATTAAAGACTTTGGTTACTGTTGCCTCTGCCTGCATTGTCCTTTTCCTGAGTTAAAGTATTCCCGTCTTAATGCATCTCTTTATTCCTTTCTATATCAGGGTTGGTCAGCCTATGTTGGCTTTAATGTAATATTAATATGTTCACACCCTGCTTAAAAACACAGACTATTATAAAATCTTAAGAACCCAAGCTTTTTTGAATGTTGCACATACATATCTGCAGAAATGCTGGTAAACTAAGCAAAGAGTATAGAAACCACAACAAAAGTTTAGGTCACTTGTTTAATATACAAAGTCTTTCACAGATAATTATTTTCCTTAATTTGTCTTAGTACACATTATTCACAAAACAGTAAATTGTTAATGCAAGAGAATTAGGTAAAACCAAAAAAATACAAATGCTCAATCTCAAAAATTGCACACAGTTAAAATAATTTTTTCTTGTTTGTTTTAATGCAATTTCCAATTTCAAAATGGGCTTTCTTCAGATTTGGAGGAAACACTGCAGCCCAAAATAACAGTACTTCCTTTGAGCTGTATTGATATGTAAAATAGCACCTTTGGGCTGACTTAAGGAAAGAAAAAAGGTTTTTCATCTTTCTTAATTAAAGTCTTATACAATTATTACATAACAACTACAATAATGATAATAAGTGTAAAGAGCTCTACTTTGTTCCAAAATACTGATTGCCAAGGTAGGGAAAGGTAAACTATCAGGAATCTTTCCCACCACACCCCCTTGACAATGAGAGTATCTTAATGATGTCATTGCTCTAATGAGCTAATTTTCCAGCCAAACAGCTGTTTTAAGGGTACCTAAGGACTTTTTGCAAAACAACATAAATGTGGCTATCTGTCTGGGACAGTAATCACGTAATAGCAGTTCAGAGTGAGATTTAATCCTGGGGCATTTTGAGAGACGCCTTCAGTATATACCTATCTTCAGTTTCTCCATTGCTGTATCACATGTAGATTAGATTATTTTTGCTTTGATTTGTTTTTTTTAATTTTTTCATTTTTGTTTTGCTTGTGTTAAGCTTAATTGCCTTTTGGACTTCATTTAAAAAAAATACTGGGATTTCACTTCTTTACAATTCGATCTTTGATACAATAAAAGTGAGAGTTCTTTTAAAAATTAACAGCATAAATGTCTGTGGTTTATGGTATTGATACTATCAGATGCATGACTATAAAAAGCCAGGGTTTTTAACAGAATTGCGTTGTTCATTCTTTGATTTCAGTCCTTTGATTCACTTCCATTTTACTTCTTAACGTGAGCAGGTAAACATGCTTCAAAAAAAATTGTCCTTCTAGAGTGTAGTTTTTGAAGGGTATGTCCAGTCCACAAAGTATTGTCACAAAGCCAAATCCTTTCATTGAAAGGGCACTTGCCACACAGAATAGAAAAGGAAATCAATATCGGGTTTTAAATGAACATCATTATTCCCGATTGTTTGAACCATAAACAAATATTGCAGGAAAACTTGTTAAAAGATTTAAATTCAGGAGTTCAGGGTTTATAAAGTTCAGAAGAATAGCAGAATAAAAAGCTGACTTGTAACCTCTTAGGGAGCTATGTTATTTTCTCATTACAAGAAGGTCAAAGCCTGTACATGTTAATATTGAGAATTTAGGTATGGTATTAAAATACCATGTCATATTTTAGGGTTAAGACAGTAATGCTTATCTTTACTTTTCATTCTAGAAATGTTTTCTTACTGTTAGTGTAGCCGTTAATAAACAAGCCTTCTTTAGCCAATCATCTTCCACTGAGAAATGAGCTATGCAGTTACCTATCTTGCTTAGGTCTGTATAGAATTTAAACAGTATTTTTGGTGGTAATTAAGGTCAATAATCCTTTTCCTTCCAGAGCAAATAAAAGAGAAATCAAGATTTCATTGCTTGCTGGTGACAGATTACCCCCCCTTCCCTCTCCCCCTCCCCCCCCAGAATATTTGTAAACAACACACTTCTGTTGCTAAGCTCTGGGAAACATGAATTAGTAAAAGCTTAGGGAAATAAACAAAAATCGTATCAAGGTTAATCTATTGGGTAAGGTGCCATGGTTAAATCACTCAAAGTTTAGTTATTCATGAGTATTTATCTTAAACTTTTAAAATGGAAATTTAAGAAGTTAATACAAAGTTTAGTTTGTTTAAGGTTCAAAGATATTTTATTATTACAAGATGTCCTTATTTGTGCAGAAATTATTATGGTTCTCTATAGTTACTTCAACTTTGTTTTCCATGTGCGTTTGTTTAGTCCATACCCTCCACAACAAGTTTTAAGAAAGATGAGTTTTAAACCTTTTGTTTCCTGACTGGCCAAAACCCTTAATGTTTTTCTCATGTACACACGTAAAATCACACACACACACACACACACACACACACACACACACACACACAAAGTTGACATTGTTTACCTTTTCTTTATTTCTAGGAATTGGGACTATTTGGACTCCGTGTCAGCCACTACTAATATTCATATCTTTCTCCTCATTAAAAGGTTATTTTCTTCTCCTTTTTTCTGTGATAATCCATGAGGAACAAGCACACTGGTAATTACAAAGTGCATCAATGTGATACCCGGGTTTGTGCAATGCAGTACCCATGCTTTGGTTCTTATGGCCATCGTGACTGCCTTTTCACAATAATAAATACGACAGCTAACAAAAATAAGTCACCTTTTTAAATGTGAGACATCTTTCTTTGACGGGTCACAAACTCTATAATCATTAATCTAGCTCACTACACTATCATTCACGCTTCAGTTTTACATGAATATGCAAAGAACACAATAATCAACTGAACTGCCAAACCTAAACAACTCAGTTTATTACTTATCACAGAATCTGTTGAATATCTTTACTTCCCAGCTGAGCAAGGGAAATACTGTCAGCTTTTTAAAATAGTCCAAATGCTTAGTCAAAACTACTCATCTGTCAAGTTGATACCACATGTGGATTTAAAAAAAAAAAACCCTCCACATTGGACTTAACCAAAATATTTTTTGCTTCCTTATCTTATGTGCTTCATAGTAGCAAACAAGTTAATTTCAGAACTTTGCCACAGGTAGATCATTGTATCTTTCTATACTTTCATTTCCTCTAGAGAAATGTAAGTTCAGCTCTCTAACCAACCAGGTTATTTCATTTGATACATTTAGTGCTTTTAATTAATAAAAATTTTAATCAATTAATTTAGTGCTTTTAAAACTATAACATTTGTGAGCCTTTGAAAAAAGAATGAATTGAGCTGCTGTTTTGAAATATTCAACTGTTAAATGAAGCAGAGGCTGTGCTGCTAATTTTAGGGCTGTGCTAAACAATATAATTAATTCAAATTAAGATATACCATAAAGATAAAATACATACTGGATTTTGAATCTTGGTTCATGAAAAAGGATGTGAAATATCTTAATTTTTAATATTCATAACATTGAAATAATTTGATATATAGCGTTAAGTGAAATATAAAAATTTCACTTACTTATTTTTACTTTTCCTAATGGGGCTACTGGATCATTTTAAATGTATGCATGTGGCCTGCATTTGTGGGTTCACATTACATTTCTGTAGGACAACACTGTTTTATGGGGACCAGATAAAATACAGGACCTGATAGTTGATTTCAGCTTCTGTGGGTATTTAACAGCACTAATTACACCCCAAAACTGCAAATCTTCTGTTGATGATTTGAACGTAATTCTAAGTATTAATACCTTCAAATGTGTATTGCATCTATTTTAAAAACATGCATCTGTTAAAACAACTGGACTCCACTATAGCCATAAAAATCTGTTAGCTGTCAAAGTATGAATATCAAAATATGCATCCTCCAAGTTTGCTTCAGATATGACTTAAGGACAATGCAGACAAATTCAAGCTTAAAACCAAGTATGTTTCTTATTTCCAATGAGACAGTTAACGTTATGAGGCCTTAGAAGAAATACACATTGCAATTCAAGTCTGTATTCTTAAACTTGATCCTGCTCCTATGAAGACGTGGGTCCATTTAGGCTTTCGTCACTGCCTAAGAGCATTCCTTGCTCCATTGGTTCTTAATTGTCTTAGAAATCACTCTCTAACAAACTTCACATTTCCGTATCACACTTTGGACTGCTTCATGGGATCCTGGTCATTTGGTGGTCTTTTGGTCCCCTTTCTGAGCCAAGTAAGGAAAAATGAGTCAGTTGGAGAAAGAGAAGATAAAGAGAGTGAATACTTCAGGATCACTTCTGTCATGTGTAGTGGCTAAGGGCTAGAAAGATATTCTTCAGTGAAGAAACTCCCCACTGGTCCTGTCACACTGGTATAACCTCCGGGGAGCCGCCCTCTGCAGATGGCAGTGAATTGGTACCCGTTTGTGATACAGGCACTACCACGGCATCCTTGATGTCCGTGTTTACATTACATGAGAAGTTCTTCTCCTGCTTTTTGGCAGTGTCTGGGCAATTTTGCACAAAGATCACTCGGTTGTAAGCCTTCAGCCTGCGCCATAACTGAACGTAGACTTTACACTGTACATACATGAAGACAAGACCTCCCGTGAAGCCGATAGCCACCACAACGAGTTTTGTCCAAAATGGCCATTCAAGGACACCTTTGAAATAAAAAAGAGAATGTTATCACCAAGTCATTATCAATGGGTTTGGTAATTTTTTTCTATGACTCCTTCAAAAGACCATGCCTGCCTGCTAACTTTTGTGGATAAGGGATGTATTGTTAACAGACAGTAAAAATTATAACCTGACTTGCTTAATTGCTTTAAACTCTAAAACATACTGTTAAAATTGTACATGAAAAAAAAAAAGAAAAAAAATTGTACATGAAGAAACTCTGTACCTATTACTATAAAGAACTTTTTTTTTTTTTGTAGCATCAAGTACCTACCATGGTTATCAGATGATATTGGACTTTTGATACTTATTTTGACATTTATTCCTTAGAGCTAAATCTTTAAGGAAAGATAGTGAACATATTAAGTGAAAGAATGAGTTTAAAATCCTTTTAAGAAGGTAAAGTAATAGGTACTTCTGTAGGATTGTACATACAGATGCTGCCACATCTCACCAGAGAGAGAAAGAATTAAAGATGTGCATAAAATGTAGTACTTTAGTCATTTTTGTTTCGTAAGTCTTTTTGTCACTGAGAACCACCACTTTCTTGGATATCAATGTTTTCTTTTAATTTGTACCATCATAACTCTCACAATTTTTGGCTCTCACAATTTTTAAAACTTGCCACAAGAGTTTCTTAACTCTAACAATATTTAGGCCACACATAACTAGGAATGTTAAATACACGATTGTCAAGAGTCCATCTCTTGTCAATACCAAGATGGTGTGGAGGATGGCTGTCTCCATTCCTGTGAAAGGCTCGGTTCAATATGTTGGACCAGGAAGTGTTGGTTAGAAATCCCAATTTTTCAAAGTCCTATGATTCTATTTTATTTATTTTTCCTTATAACAATGAATAGAGTTCTAGGAAATGTCCCACCTATATTTTGTAACAGCTGTATTTGCTTTAAGCTTCTGTAGGAAAAGAGATACTAGGGCTTGTTTAGCTCCTTCCTCAGTTCCACTTATGCCAAGAACGATCATCTGACATACAGACTCAGGGTAGACTCACGATTCCCAAGGGTCGTGATTGTCAGATCACTGGTTTTTCCTCAGGGGACATGTGGTAATGTCTGGAGATACTGGTTATTGTTACACCTTGTGTTGGGCTAGGGTGCTAACGACTTCTAGTAAATAGATACCAGAGATGCTGTGTAAACATCCTGCGGTGTGTAGGACAGCACTCCCCGACAAAGAATTACCCAGTCCACAATGTCAATAGTGCTGAGGTTGAGAATTCTTGGGGAAGATAATCACTTAAGCTTCTTTATTAGGAAATTTTCAGGGAGGATTCAATATGCAAATTAGGTATCTTGGAGTTCTCCAAATTTAGAAGGATTTTTGTTCTTGGCTACTCTTTTGATCAGTAGTTTCTATGTATTTGGAATTTTTTAACCACAGACAAGCCAGAGAAAACATGTACTTTATCTCCCATTTTGGGGAGAGAAGTCTCCATGCATTACATCTAACTTTCCCCTCTGTCTGCTAAATCACACCACTGGCTGTTCTCAGTAAGCGTCTGGAGGTTTTCCATTTCTGTGGCTTTGTCCATATTTCTTCCCTGTGGTTTTGCTTCCTTGTTTCTGCAGGTCTACCTGTCCCACAAAACCCAGCTCAGCAACATTTTCCAGCTGGAAATAAATTTTACCACTTTTCCAGTTTCAAGTTATTTCTTCTACCTGCAGCATGAGTTAACTTTCTAATCAGTTATTTTTGCTTTGCTACCCCATAATCTTGAGAAGCACAGAACTTATGTCTAGCTGGTCTTTGTTTTCCACAGTGCCTTGCTCAGTAGCTATTTCAAGGCTGAAAGAAAGCTTTCAAAGTTCCAAGTTGGATTGCTTTGCCTCAGTCTTTTTAATATAACTGGAGGTGCCAGCCTTTCTTCATTTGTCCACGAAGCTATGTTTCATGGGTGGATGATCTGAAGACTCGACTCTTGCCTTACCTCTCCTTCCTGAAATTGTGACGAGAATCCAGAATATACCTGAGAATCTGGGCCAGGAGTAACTAGCCATTTTCTCTGTCATTTCTGGAAGACAGTCTGGTCCTTCAGTCTGATCCTTCCACTTTCTTTCACAATGTTCTCTGAGTTGATTTCTTCTCCCCTAGTCATTCTTCCTTCATATGTTTGGGAAGTCAAAGCCCTCCATATATTCCCATATATATTCTAAACAAAGTTTAGAGTATGGAGTATCTCCCCACCCCACATCCAGAAGCTATTTGGGTGCAAACCCATTTTTCACATGACCATCTTCTCTCAGAGACAGTCTGATCTTTCCCTTTGCCTCTGACTAAGTGGGCAAGATTTTTGTTTTCTATAAAGATATTATTGAGCAGGTATAAGATTTTACCTTGGAAAACTCACTGTAAGGATGCCATGAGAAGAGATGCTAACACATGGGGCTAAGTGGATTTCTGAGAATGTTTCCATTGGTAAGGTATGTTTACTTCCTTATTATTGAGAATCAGCAAATTGTCTTCATACTCAACCTTGTTGGACTAGTTCTTTGCTGTCTTCTGTACAGAAGAAGGAATGTACACAATAAGGAAGGGTAGTAGGAAAGAGAGGGCACAAAATCTTGTTCCTTGTGGATCCTTTGTGTAAAGAAGGAGTTCTTTGTCCTCACTGATACATATTTGAAGTTGGAACCTGAACTTGGAAATGCCAAGAGCACAAAGGTGTTTTTACTGGCCCAGGTTGGAAGAGGAATTTGGAAAATCCAACTTGAAGCCATTCTCCCATCTGTTCATTTCTCTGAAACCCAAGGACTGTATGTACTTCTTTCTTTGTGCTTGGGATCTTTCTTCAGGAGTTTCTGTAAGTTTAGGAATTAACTATCTACATCGCTTCCTCCTAAACACAATGGGAAACACTGCTTAGAAATTCTTGGGCGGGAACTGAAGGAGCTTAGAGGAGTAGTTTTTCTGCCCACAACCATTTTTCTTCCTTCCCTTTTTTCTTCCAGATTTTATTTGTCAGAGAGAGAGAAAGAGAGAGCACAAGCACGGGGAGTGGCAGGCAGAGGAAGAGAGAGAAACAGACTCCCCACTGAGCAGGAAGCCCAACACAGGGCTCGATCCCAGGACTGCCAGGATACTGAGCTGAAGGCAGGTGCTTAACCAACTGAGCCACCCAGGCATCCTTGTCCACAACCATTTTCTAAGGAAATGGAAGTCTTCTCTCATCCCTCATAATAGATAAATTTGACTCGTTCACTGTTCATATTGTCATGCCAATCCTACATGAATGGGCAATAACTTTTAAAGCAGTCTCAACATATGATTAAATTCTTCCAGGCCTCCTTTCTCTAATTGCGTGTATGGGATGCGGTCCTGGAGGGCTGCACTATCTTCCTTAGACAATCAGCATGCTAATAGGTTTTCTGTGAAAGGCTTAAGATGGGTTTGTAGATTTGACCTGTGATATGATATTGAAAACTTCATAAAGTAGAGTTAGATGAATCAAAATGCCACATTATATCTGCCTGAATGTGCTCTGCTACCAGAGCCCCAGAAACCAGCCCTCAGTTTGTAGGGAAGTTTATTTAAAGAGCAAGTAAAACTATGTTAGGCAAAGAAAAGCAAATGCAGCTTTCAGCTTATCATAGGCTCTTGGGATTCTGAGTCTGTGCAAGATTCTTCTAGGAAGCCAGAGAGGAAAACTTGGGGATACCAGATAAAGTAACTATTTCTAGAATTTGAATAAAAAATAAACATGAATGAAAGAGTGCAATTTGTAAATTGTTTTTTCACATAAAAAAATTCTTTCAGATATTCCTCATTGCACTTTCCATTGGGATTGGGTGAGGAGACATGGATTGGGACTATTTAAGGCACTTCCCCCTCAGGAACCTGAGACTATAGATTATTGATAAACTGTCTTTTATCTCATTTACAATCACTATTTCTTCATCTTCATTCCCAGAAGCCCCCTCCTTCCTGACTAAGAAATACCCATATCCCAAATAATTGAAACTTTTACTCAATTTCTTTGCAGACCAAACCCCAACAGGGTACCCCTTATTACAGTTAATGGCTTCTCAAAGACTTTTCCTGTGTAAAATCACCACTCATTCTTGAGGATTATGGTCTTTGTTTGTTTGTTTTAAATAGCCCAACATGGAAGTCAAACTTACCACAATTCTGAGAGCAAGACCTGAGCCAAGTTCGAGTCAGATGCTCAACAGACTGAGCCACCCAGGAGCCCCAAGGATTATGGGTTTAACGCCTAACAATCAGCCACTTCAGTCTTTACATCTTCATCCTAATTCAGATAGTTGTTTTATTTCCTTGAGGTATTGAGAGCCTGTTATTTGGTATTCTCTTTGGTCTCAGTTTGCTCATCCTTGGTAGCTTGTTCAGAAATACTCCCATTTGGCTCTTGCCTCCCTGTAACTGGGTCCTTTGGTTCCCATCCCCTCTCTCCTTGACTCTGGCTGTGGCAGCACATGACTTGTTTGGGCCAGTAGGACAATAGCAAATACAACACATCAGACACTTCCCAGTTGTTCCCCTTGTGTGTGTGGTTTGCTCTCTTGCTACTTTTTTTGTTTTTTTTTTTAGATTTTATTTATTTGACAGACAGAGATCACAAGTAGGCAGAAAGGCAGGCAGAGAGAGAGGAGGAAGCAGGCTTTCTGCTGAGCAGAAAGCCCCATGGCAGAGCTCGATCCCAGGACCCTGGGATCATGACCCTAGCCGAAGGCAGAGGCTTTAATCCACTGAGCCACCCAGGCGCCCCCTCTTGCTACTTTTTTAAATACTAAGAGCCATGTGAAGAAGGCAGGACCACCAAGTCTTGTGTGATGAAAAACACAGCTCAGTTCTTTGTGTCATCAAATAACAGCGTGCCCACTGCGAGACAGGTAGAGGAGGCCCTGCTGATGATACAGCAGCCAGCCCACGTGCCAGCTCTTGGCAGAAACAGAGGTGAACCCTCGGAGAGCAGCCAGGCAGGCCCTGGCCAGGAGAAACATCCAGC